CGGCCTCCCCTGTGTCGATACGGTGATGCAACAGGGAGGTCCGACCGATATCAAATTCACTCTTACAGAGAATTCGCACAAGAGCAGACGCAAGTCGTTCCGTTGCTTGGGAGATAACTGCGAATTCTCCCGACACAGAGCTTCAGCCCACATCTCATCCGCGACCCCAACGTGGTCAATAGCACCCACAACAGTCTGCGGCGTAACGGCATCATGTTCACAAAACACGGTGGTGGCGTGAACCACCACCGCATCCGGGCCCACTTTAAGCAAGGACGGGGCCTGCTCGGAGCGAAGGACTGTCTGTGCACCAACTAGCGCCGGGGTCAAAAGGACCTCAGCTGTCGAATAAACACTTTTAATTTCCTTACGATAGCGTAGCAGTACAAGCATCTGGGATCCCGGCGGGAATTCCACTGCAACATCAACAAGGGCTTGTACCGTGATGCATGCTGCCGAATGTGATTGCAACGATGGCAAAAACATTTTTTGACCCGACGGCATTTCAAAACAACCCTGGTCAACGAGGATTTTGATGGGCATCCTCTTAAGGAAATCAGTACCAAAAAGGCTGCTCGCAACCTCGAGATCAGGACAAGCCCAAGCACAGCCACTTTGCCAATTATGATGCGGGCATCCACCTGACCAATGATGCCCATGCTCCCACCATTCACCGCTACACAAGCATTAACAACAGGTTATATTTGACGAGCCGGAATCGACAACAATTGGACACGGGAGCCGAGGCTCCCGTGTCCACTAAGACATGCACCTCCACTCCCTGCACCAAACCCGCTGAAAAACCCGCAGCCGCCGTGACCACGCGACATGCCAATTTCCTCCACTGTGTCCTCGAGCTAGGCCACCCTTGCGCAACCGAACCCCGGTGCCCGGTGCCAAAATGGACCGGGTGTCTGATGTGTACCGACTCGTCTGTTGGGATTGAGGTTGAGCCGTTGGAGGGGCAGTGGGCGCCGGAGCAGCAGTCGGTGTCAGAGGGCGATTCTGGCATCCCCTCGCGAAGTGCCCTGGCTGGCCGCAGTGGAAACAGGCCAAAGGTGGCCTCTGCGCCACCCAGTCCTCGCGTTGATGTGGTCTGCAGCTCCATCAATGGAGTGCAGCATTCCCCTGTCTCTGATTCCACGGCGGAATCGCAGCAGCGACGTCCCCCTCCGAAGACGCATCGCCGGCTGGAACCACCACCACTTTGCTCGGTGACCATCCCTTCCGTTCCCCGTCTAGCTGTGGTCCCCCGTCCATGCCGCCATCTGAGACCAACGCTGTAGATTTTCGTGGGCCTGAAGACATCTGGCGACCCCCGGGACGTTTGTATGTCTCCGTCACACACAGGTAAGACCACCCCATGGCTCTAGCCAGTCCCAATATTAGTTCCATGATGAGCGAGTCGAGGGCCTCCGGATTCACACCAGGGTAAGCAGCACCCGCTAACACCAACAATACGCTGCTTCTCGGCCTCCCCTCGCCTACATTGAAGAAACTTGCGTCGCGTGTCGGAAGGCGGCTCGTACACATCTGCCATCTCAGCATAAACACCCCGAAGAGTGGACTCTTTCTCAATAGGAATAGCTCTGAAGACCGCAAGAGTGTCGTCGTCCAAAACAGTCGTCAAATGTACTGAACGGAAAGCCGACTCGAATCGCCAAGCATTCAGTCTCCACCTGCCGCGACGAATTCTGTAACTTGAGGAAGTCTTCGAGTACGATCAGTTACATTCTGCGCGTCCCTAGCTGCGGCCGCAGTGTCTTGCGCACCATGCGTCTCTTGTAAAATGGCGGACTCCCGCACCGCCCAAAATGGCGGCGTCCGACTGCGTGCTTCCCTCTGCACGCGTAATGGCGACCGTCGCACCTGTATACGAACCCGCCGAAACTTCCACCCTGGATTCCCGGTCGCTACCTTCCGGCGATGTGTGCGTTGAGTGCCCCACCACCGTAGAAGCAGTGAGGAGTGACACCAGCTGCACAACCACCGCCCGCAATGAGTTCAGTTGCTCCATCACCCTCCTCCAGCCGTCTTCGGGGCTGCTGGTGCGGAGGTGTTGTGTTCGCGCCGACCGTCTCTGGCGCAGCGACCTCTCCCGCCGTGGTTTCCATAACCGGGACCACATCTTCTGTCAACTGTATTCTTTGTTTTCAACCACTTCTGACTCCAATGTAATGAGCGACTTCCGCGACACGTCGTGTAGAGGGTACTCCTCTTTATTTCACAATTGGGCACTGCACAGCTAACGTTATCTTCTCCTCTTCCGAGTACACACTTGGATATTCACGTTGTTACAGACTACACACACGGTTGATCACACGGCTGTTTCCGCCCGTCCGCTCCCGGTCTCGCCGCTGGCTGACGGCGTGCCGGGGAGGGTGGTGGAACTCCGCAGGCGATCCGCCACGTGGCCGAACGATGGAGAGAGATGGCGGCGAGCAGTGACGCAGTCCGGACCCAAGACTCCACACACCGATCCTGAGTCCTCCTCCGCCTCCGCTTGTATTGCCGCAGGCACGGCTAGGCTGTGCCTGCGGTCACGCCCCCTCTCGTGGAACTTTCTTGGCCGGCTCAGCCCTTCACCTTTGGCCTAGATACCTCTCCCTTTGGGGACTGGATAATGTTTATAATGGTGCCTGTACCCGTGCTTCCCTTTTCCAATCAGTAGATGTCACTATCTCATTACATATGGATGAGACTGGTGACCGAGAAGTAACCCAAAGAAATATGACGCCCACTGTATATATCCTCTCACCCGCACGAACGAGACAGACTGCCAAGGGTATTAGTGATGCTGATAACATTGGCAGGCTTTCATTGAACAGTGGTGGATAATGGCTGATGATGATAATAGTGAAAACATCCGTTGTTAAAATAGGAACAGTTGCTATGCAGATTGATGTCAAATATGAATGTCATGAGAGCTATGTTGTTAGAGCTATTCAATCTGAGCTGCGCTATCAGAGGTGTGTTATTTATCAGAGCTGTCATTACCGGGCTTTGTTAGCAGGGCTATTGTATCAGAGCTATTATTACCAGGACTATTGTATCAGAGCTGTTGTTACCAGGGCTCTGTTAGCAGGGCTATTGTATCAGAGCTATTGTTACCAGGGCTATTGTATCAGAGCTGTTGTTACCAGAGCTATTGTTACCAGGGCTATTGTATCAGAGCTATTGTTACCAGGGCAATGTTACCATAGCTATTGTATCAGAGCTATGTTACCAGGGCTAGGTTAACATATATATGTTACCAGGGTTATGTTATCAGGGATATGTTACCAGGATAATGTTCATTATAAAGGTTGTTGGGTTACATCGCGTAAGTATAAATGCGTCGTGTCTCTCCACAACCCGACACAGCCAGTGAAGTTTGTCACTTAAACAAGACGTGCCAATTAGTAAACTACTTCAGCCCGCCGGTGTGCTGGAGAGTAAATCAACAACATTATCAGGGCTATGTTACCAGGGCTATAGTGGAGTCGTTATTCGCAGACAAATGGGTACTTTACCGGAAAAGTGCCTGCAATAACAAATGCTGTACTGCCACGTATAGTACTGCAATGTAGATTTATTTATGCAGTCTGTTTCGGCGTCAGTCATTGGAGCTCACACCACGTAAAGAGATTTATTTAAAGTTCAAATTTTAAGAGTGTAAAATGTGTCCTTGAAGAGTATTATTTTTAGATAGAAACCATGTTACGGCACTGTAGTTACATACGTAACCTCACTGTGTACACATTTTTGTCTCTAATTTCGGAGATATCCACTGAGATGGCGCGCCCCATTTTCAGGGAAGGCGATAGGGATATTGTTTTGCCCTATCGAGATTAGTCATCGATAGTATATGTAACTGAAAAACACCTCTGAAATAAATAACACTCATTATACCAGCATCCTTTGGGGTGGCACGGTGGCTAGATATTACACAACTCGCCTGGTATACAGGAGGTTTTGGGTTCGATCCCAACCCTGATGCCTGTATATTTGGAGTTTGCGTGTTCTCTCACACCGTGGCCTCATCGAGTTTTTCTCCGTATTCTCCGGTATTTCCCTCCACATTTAGAAACATGCTTTTAGATTAGTTGCCTGCGATAGAATTCCACGTGATTAGCCACTTTGTGAAGCTATTATTTGCGGCCAGGTAACTTCTGAAAAAGTGCTATATACCTCAGTGGGCCTTACCTGGTAAAATAAAAATAAAAGTTTAGTTTTAACTTATAATTTCATCATCAATTTCAAAGCAGGACTTTTATATTTGTAAATGTATGTGGCTTAAATGCTGCATGTATCAAGGCTAATACAACAGTATGAGCACAACTATATTATTTTTCTCCACGTGAAAATACAAATGTTTTGGTCTTTTGGTTTTACAGACTGATATTAAGCCAGCAGCACTTGTTTCAGCAAGCAAACTTTGGATTGCTTTCAACCTTCATAGTCTCATCATCAGGCCAGTTTGTTAAGCAAATGCTGCTGGGTTACTCAATGTTTTTGGCAAGAGCACTCCATGTATATGTATTGTTTTAAATGATAATGTAACTAATTGTGAGCATTTTTTATCCTAATGAATGTACCGTGTTAAAATTAAATACTCTATTGTCTAAAGTTGTGTTATCCATTGCTATAATGAGTAAAGCTACTAAAGACTACCACACTTCTCTGTTATTCTTAAATTGGTAAGCGAATCGCTAAAATGTCTCTAAATATGCCTTCATATAACACAATAGCACAATGCCCGTGAACAAATGATTATGACCGTGCTTGCAAACTGGAGGTGTCACATTACCATATATATATTACAATCTCAGCCTTTGGAAGCAGTTAGTGAAAGGGGCTTATTTGTTGTAAACTCGTTTTTATTATAAGTGAACATGGCTAATCACAATAATAAAGTCAAGATTTCCATAGAGTGCAATGAATATATTAGTAGTTAAAGAATATAAACATCAATGCCTGCACCATATTCCCTTTCTGTGGTACTCTGTGTCTCATTTAAGGTTCCAGCTCAAGACTCGCGGATGTGATGCATTGCACTGCAGCCTTGGGAGAGTGAACACAACTGTGCCTGTCCAGTGTGGGCATCATGACTGCTGCTCATTTTTCAGAATGGGTGACATTTGATGAAGAGCCCGGGGTCCCAGAGTGGGAGAAAGTCTCTTCCTCCGATGCTAATCAATGCAGGGCCAACATTGCAAATGGAATTGTCAATTCTGCATTTGACTCGCACTGTTTAGAGGGGGAATCTGAGATACGTAGCTATGTCACTGATTCTTTGAATGAGCCACTCAATAGTGAGACAACCTCTTCGCCAGAATGTACAACCATTTCTGAGTATGAATCGGAGCTGTACACTCCACTGCATCCAACAAATCCTTTTTTGACGAATCTGCCTGAGCCAGCGCAGACATCACCAGTTAACCCTTTTCATTCATACTGTGAGCACTTGGAAGATGTAATCTCGAAACCCTCAGGGGAAGGAGACTGGGGAAATAACCTCTACTCATCATCAGTCACGTGCTTTCCCACTAATGAGGTTGACGAAACCAAGCGAAGCTCTGGCTTCTCTGATGGAACGAGCAGCCAAATAAGTTCAGTGGAGTCTGGCCATCAGGAAGAATGTGCCGTGAAGCTGAAGCAGAGTCATGCCGTAGACTCGCATAGCCTCAATAATCTACCATGCTCTTCTGCTGTTGTCTCATCGCTGTGCGTGCATTGCCCCGACTATGTCGCTCAGAGTGAGGGTTGGCATCTCATGCTGCGGATCCCGGAGCGGAAGAGCAAGATGTCATCTCGACAATGGGGACCTATCTATCTTACTCTCAAGGATGGGCTGATGCAATTCTACTACGAAAAAGGCTTAGAAAAGCCTTTTAAAAAGTTCACGTTGCAAATTGGCCACGAGCTTTCCGAATTTAGACTGGAGCATTTTAACGAGCTTGGCAAAATTCACACTCTACGAATCGAGGCCGTTGCGTACAAAGAGAAGCGTAAATTCCAGGCAAAGCCAACGCTCTTGTTTGCTGACAACAGGTCGGAGCTGCTGAAGCTTGGCACGACCGATTACGGTGACTTCACCAGTTTCGTGCAGTCGGTACAGGATGAGCTGATGAAGCTGCCATGTCCCGTGGAAACAAATGTGGCATATATGGAGGATATGATGCTGGTGGAGGTCTCCGATGAATTTCAGGGCATTCTAAATGTGGAAAATGACCTCGTACAACATGCAGTTACTACACATATTCAAACGGTTGCCTTTATTTCTGGAAATCACGATTGCTGCCTCAACTTTCATAATTGCGACACAAATTCGACGGAAACTGCGTTCACTGAAATTGACAGCATGGCTTTCTATGGCTATCAATTCCATTCCTGTACCAAAATTGTAGAGTTCAACGCATCCAAAATGGTTAAATTCACCCCGCCAGATGCTTGCAAGATTGAGCTGCTGCGATTCCGCACAATTTTCCCAGAAAAGGGACTCCCATTTCTGATAAAAACCATAGCTACTGTTCAAGGAGCCTTTATTGAGCTGCAGTCTTGGCTGGTGATGTCAACAGAGTTCTCATCAAATCAGAGCCCCCACTTGCTTGTCCCATGTGAGAATGTTATGGTACGATACCCTATCCCGGCAGACTGGGTAAAAATCTTCCGCACCGAGAACCTCATCAAGCAAAAGTCACTGACCGCTAAAGTGAATAAGAGCGCCAAGTTTGGCAGTGTCAGCTGCACCGGTTTAGAGCCATTGATGCAAGTGACCATTGGATCTGCAAAATATGAACATGCGTTCAATGCTATTGTGTGGCGCATTGAGAAGCTACCAGATAGGAATGTTGGTAAGTGGCACATACATACATACACACACAAAAGGACAATAATTTATATACCCATTTAGAACTTCGCACAGTGGGCTGGCAATGCAAAAGTCACTTCTGTTCTGGTCGTTGAAACAGTGAGGCAGGTTTCTTAACTCCACCCCCCTGCCCACACCCCCTGCCTCTGTCCACCCAGCAGTGTACTCGTTAATTGGGTTCACCACGCGAAGTAAGTCTCGTGTTGTGGGCTAAAGTGGTGGGCACTTCCATCTCTTCCATGATCATTTTGGTCAGCGTGGAAGAGAAGGCCACACGTTGCCTCTAGAGGGCCTCTCTTGAGCTCCCTCTCTTGGGAACCCTTCCGGAAGCATGGGCATGAGGAAATAATCGCAGGGCTGCACCCATCTCACTTTAGTTTTCTGTTCCTATTATGACAAAAAAAATTCAATTCCGTATACATTACTTTAGCAGTAATGCAAATATGGATACAAATATACATGAACATGCCACACAAAGGCCATTTTTTAAAGCAACCGTTTCTCCATAACAGACTCGTCCAAGTGTCGAATTGTCATTTTGAAACTGAAACGTTTTTTTTTCCTTCTCCCCTTTTTTTTTTCTTCTGAAGCTGCAGATCATCCTCACCGCTTCTCGTGTCGCTTGGAGCTGGGATCAAACAAGGAGCTTCCTTGTGCATTCTTCCGCTCCGTGGACGTGGAGTTTGACATGCCAGCGGCGATGGCTTCCAGGACCCTGGTGGGTTGCGTCAGCTCGCCTGCGAATCCCAACCTGGGCAGATGTGTCACCTACAAGTCTCACTTTCACTGCAAGGTAAACAATTATACGTCGAACAAACCAGCGCATGTCACAGCGAAAGGAAGTGAACTTTGATTGTTGGTTGTCAATCAGTTCAACATTGATGCATCGCAGGATCGTGACTGGTGGTGGTGGTGGTGGCTTGGTGAGGCCTGCATCGAGCAGTGGGATAACCATGGCTGCTTCTGCTGCTGCTGGTGATGCTGATGTTATTAACACTGCCACATAACAGAAAGCTACTGTTGGGCAATCTTTTAGGCAATGGCTTTGTATCTTTCAGCAATAAAGACATTGTCAGAAATGGTAGCTTTGATATACTGTACTGTATATTGGCAAATGTGTTGCAATATATTTTTTCTTACCAGGTAAAAGCCCACTGAGCTATATAGCTCTTTTTCAAAGGAGACCTGTCCACAAATAAATGATAACTCAATAAAGTGGTTTATCATATGGGAATTTATGGCAGCCAAATACTGTAAACGCATGTTTCTAAATGTGGAGAGAAAAACCGGTGGATCCGGAGACCATGGGGAGAACATGCAAACTCCATATATGCAGGCGTCAGGGTCAGGATCAAACTCAGGACCTTCTGTAACCCAGGCGAGGTAGTTAATATCTCGTCAGGTTGATGAAGGCCTCACCAGGTTGCTGCCATTGCTCAAAGCTCATCGATACGCATTACTTGATTTCACCGATTCATCTCCACGATGCATTTTTGTTACATTAAGGCAGTGTCAATGACAGGAGTAGATAGGTATTTTCTGTATGTCCTTGTGGCCTACTGCCAATGGATATTCTTATGTTTTCACTTAATTCTATAATCATCCACAAGTGGTGATAGATTCACAGTGACCTTACTCTCCCCTAAGGTCTTGCCGAGGTTCGTGGACATGATAACAACTGATTGTGCTTTCATCTTCAGTTACAAATTACATCCCATATAGTGGCCATGTTAAATGCTTTTAGTGTTGGAGTGAATACTCTATAAACTGTTTTAAAACCAATCTTGCATTGCAGGTGGAAATGGAGCGAAGGTGGTTGCATCTGGGAGATACTGATGTGGAAGAGAGACCTGCAGCATGTGCGCTGCAGTGAAGGCAATAATGACTATTGATAACGGATTGAATAGCAGCAGGACTCGCTGAAGCCGAACATCAATGCATGACAAAAGTCATACACAAGGCATGGGGTAATGCCACGTGGGTCGAGGGCCTCATTTTCCACTTCAACTAATTGAGGCCTAATGACCCCAGAAGCCATGTGATAGAGATATATCATACCTTGATGCGTGTGATTTACACTCCATTAAACCTGAACTCGTTTTTTTTTCCCCTCTGAACACCCCCACATTTTTCAAGAAAAAGCCATAAAATGTGACCTCGTATTTGTTTTATTTTCTTTCCATACTTCCTCTGCTAAGGTTTGACCAGATGTGTTGTTCAACAAAGTTTGCTCCGGCTCTTGTGAAGTATCAACAGGGAAAATAAACTCAGCGATCTCTATTGATTGAACACAAACTCACAGTGTGACACACCCTTGGATAGGTCTCCCTGTTCACACACCATTACATTTTTTTCTATTGAAAATCACAGTCACCCCTGCAAGTTAAAGATGAGGATCATAAAACATTTGAGTCATCCCCATATAGTAGCTAAGGGAACAACATGTATGATTGATGTATGTATGTTGAATTTAAATTGTTTGATACTGTATTTATCAGTTGTGTATCATCTGTGAATGCATTACATCACGTGAATATCTTCCAAAATCTAAATGGAAAATGTAACCTTACAGTAGTTCAAATTGAATGTTAATGCTCTTTTTGTTTGTTGTTGACAGGGCTTAATTTCTCATAGAATAATTTTCTGGAACTCACAACCCCCTTGGAAGGGGGGAGGGGGGGATATCTTCCAGAGCAGAGCTTCAGTTAGAATTAAGCCCTGGTTGTTTATGACTAAATACAATGTGGAGTATACGTGGAATGTAAGACTATAATGCAGTGGAGCAGAACAGCTCTGTTGTACAATACTGTGTACTGCATGGACATTTGTTGTCTATTCACTTGAGGGTAAAAAGGGATACAATGAATCATCACCTCCAGGGTGCATAGAGCATCTGTAGTGACTGTACAGTTTTTGTGGATGATACACACAAAAAAAACTCGCTGTATACTATTTGGAAATTACAAAAAACACTTTTTGCTTGTACCAATAACAATGTAAATCTATACATTGCTACATCCCCATTGAATGTGTTTTTTGTAAGTTCTGTATAGGAGCATCTTTTCCTCACGTGGCAGATAATATTCATTAATGCCACCATAGTCAATTATATAACGATTATGCATTGGAGAAGAACTTTCACTTATCTGAGGTGATTTGTGGATGACCATTGCTGATCTCATTTTCTGCAATGCCACCTTCAAATTTACTCTTATTTGTCCACAGAGGGATGCAAATTAGTTTTTTTGTTGTTGATAATAGGGTCCACAGATTATAGGAATCACAGGAAATAGGGTCACATATACGAGGAGTTCTACTCTTCATCCTCAACCAAGTATTGGCCGCGGCCTTTAATTTCAACCTGTCGAACTAAATATTCATGAGACCTGCTCTTTTTGCTGTGTGCCTGCTTTGGTTATGACCTGCATATGCTTCTAACCAGGCAAGTGTTATTTACACATCATCACACTCAATTAATGCTTGCTCTTTTATATATATGCTGTAATTTATTTATGGTCAATGTAATTTTTTTCATGTAACTTTTCGAAGAGTTAAAAAGTGCACGTATTTTCTGTACGTGATTCGAGTCGTGATGAGCACAAGTCTAGTGGTGATCATTGATGGCAAGTACTCGATCGTAATGGATTTTGGTGAAGTTTAGTACAAAGGAATACTCTGTGTATGGCAATGTAGTGTTAACGGAGAGTTGTTGATGTGGCAACAGCGGATTTATCCTTCAGAATGCAAACTCAAGACTTCCCTTCTCTGTGTTACTCTATTTGCTGTTTGTATTCTCAGTTATACCCTTTAGCCAGTTCTTCCCCACACCACGTACAGTACAAGCCTGCTGCTCACACTCTTCTGTAAAAAAAAAAAAAACTCTTTTGTCTTTCATATTTATAGATTTTAATTTTTATTGTGGGTTTTTTGCTTTTATTATCTTCAATTTATTATTTTTCTTTTATTTTTATTATTTAAATTTCTGTGGGTTTTCTTATCTACGTGACTTTACCGAAAGAAACAAGAATATTTAAAGAAAACCTCTTTCCTGATTGCCTGCCATTCGCCATGGCTTCCACACCCCCATTTATATGCTGTATTACCCTCTACAGCCTGTTGAAATTGACCATACGATATATTTAGCCACCTTATCAAAATCTATGCCTTCGTGATGTGTATTGATGCAGTTTAGTATTGATTGGTTTATTTTAAAACCATAATAATGTCATGATTACAGTATTCAATGCAGTCTAGTGCATTGAATAGAGAGAACAAAAGGCTGAATAAAATATTTAGACTTGTAAAATTGAGTACGGGAAAGTGGTTAACGTGCAAAAATTAAGACATTTGAACAACTGTTTGCAACTGGGAGGAGTATCCAATGCAAAGCTGTTGAATAATATCACGGACAGAGCTAAATGGAACAAAGGCGCCTTTAAGAAAGGGCACAGCACACAGAGTAGTTTAGTGTGGATACTCTTTGGTTCTATTCGGTGTGGGCTACACAAGTGATCCACACAACCGATTTCTATGGTTCGTTATTGTTTTAAGCCCTTATGGGGCAAGAGCAAATTAATCGTTGTTACACCCGAACTATCTGGCCGGTGTCATTACCTGGTGAGCTAAATCTGATCCACTAAATGTGTCTTGAAATTGTTAACTAGAGAAAACTCTTAAAACACCCCACTCTTACACAGCACCTGAGTGGGTTGTGTTTAAGTGCATCCTAGACATGTGTAGTATATAGTGTTCTGTATTTATTGTCGATGTTATCACTTATTACAAGAGCATGCTGCTTAGTGCTCATTAATTTATACAGACGTAGAAGACCCCGTTGCATTGTTTTCAAGAGAATAGTATTATGGTATTGTTCAATGTAATTTTCCACGGTTTAAAAAAAGGTAATTTGAGACGTTGAATTATTTTAAGGATAATTATCAAATATACGTAAACATCAGTTATTGTATACATATATTACTGTATAAAAATAAATGAGCCGAAAGTATTGTACAATTATGTCAAAAAACAACACGGAATACATATTTGCCTGAGCTCAGCCCTGGACAGCTCTGGCTGAAGTTAATCCCTGGTTGTAACACAGTCGTGTACAGTATATAATATAGTCTAATACAACTGGTGATTGTTTTATTTAGTTAAAGACAGATTTTTTAAAATCAATATTAACACAACAGCAGCACATCATCTTTTTCTTGATCAGAGCATGCTATTGTATTTGTTAAAAAAAACAGCTCTTAATGCCATTTGTTAAATGGAAATGTTTGAATTAATCCTGCATCCTTTTTCATATATACGGTGGATTTAGGTTTCTAGAAAGCTCAACGCAGTTCATTAGCCTTCTAATTAATGTTAGATCTTACAACGTACTTTCCTCAAAGGAAATAGGTTTTGGAATATGCGTTGAGTAAAGTTTGTACTTTATTCAGAAAAATGAAAGTGTTAACATTTTCTACGACGAGATGTGTATTTTCATTAAACTTTACATTGATTTTTTTAGTTTAAAAAATGCACAGGTAAGTTGTGCGCATTGACAGTTTTCCATCGGTAATGTGGTAAACAGATCAATAAACTAATTTATAGCAATGCAGTACCTACTAATAAAGGTTGCCCTGTTTCCAGTCCGTGGTTGTCTGTTAATTAGTTACTCTTTTACACTTCACTTCAAGTGACAATGTGCAATCAATGCTAATCTTTGCACACCGTATGAATTCGTCATTTATTGAATTTCAGGGAACTTTTCCCGGATGATCGCTGCATAACAATAAAAATAAATAAAACTGAGCATATCAACGCAGTGCAGTACAGCACATGATAACTCTTATCTGTGGTGGTGTGGCAGACGAACACGACACATCCTATTATACGGAACACTATCCTCAAATTAATTTTACTTCATCGGTTTTAAATTGTGCGGATATTTGAAGATAATAAGATGAATTTCCCGATGAACTCCTCTTATCTGCAAAAAAACCAACATTTTGCAAAGCAGGACTGGAAAAACAACCGTGGATAATAGAAAAAAGATCGTGTATAATCGGAGTTTTCCAAGATAATTATCCAACTCCTGGAAATAATAGGATTTGCAGTTGATACGGCCACGGGATAAGAGTTCTACTGTACTCAACAACACTGATCATGCAGGTTTCCTCCGAATTGCATTGTACTACGGCGGTAATCGCTACAATTACTGTTCGTAATCTAGAGATAAAAGGTGAATCTGCAGCCCTGAAATTTCTTACTCACGCCGATTGATGGTGGAAGAGTTTCCACTCTGGTTGAACTCGAGATAACCCCTCTTGAGTGCATTCTTTGGCCTACTCTTCCATGTTGACGAGACACCTTGGAAGAGGTGGGCAGTGCCGACACTTTACTCCACCACACACGACCTGCTGGATGGGACAGAGACACAGCGATTATTATTTGTAATAAACAATCCCTTTGTTGCAACTGCTGGGCTGGGAGATCGAATCGAACCACCGACCCCTGGATTGCAAGCCCAGTGCACAAAGCATGACACCATAGCAGCATCCCAGTTCTGTATCACTCTGTAAATGTGTGTAATCGGAGAATGCTGTATCCACTGCACGTAAACCATTTTATAACATAATTGTTTGGATTCGTAAAGACATTTTATTTTTCGGCACGGGCACCTCCAACTTCCTACCCTTTTTTTGTGAAAATACAGAACACGGACACGTTTGGACATTTGAGCGCTCCTTCATTGTGTTTGGGATAACAAGATATGAAACATCCTCCAGCGAAGAAGTTACCAAAAAAGCCAGGTCTTGTTGCATCCTTCAACCTCCAAAAAACGTCCGTCCCCCATGGTCTCGGTTCCCGTTGCGATCAGTCACCTCGAGGTATAAATTAGATTCCGTGTATTGCCTGTCTCAGTAAATTTTGTGTAGGTGTCAATTGCATGTTTTTTCTCATTCTCAAAATGATGGGCTTGACGTTGGACCTTGCAGTCTGGGAACTATTCTTTCGCAGTGTAAACATACTCGATGGCTACTATTTTCACTTTGGCTTTCATTCGTTAATCCTTACTGGGCAAAAAAAAAAATGTTTTCCACCACATACAGTTAAAGCAATATAAAGGTGCAAGCCCTGAAATTGCTTGCTCACGCCACTGCTGGCAGAAGGGCGTCCAATAGAGAGCTCCTCTCGAGGGTATTTGGCCTACTCTTTTACGTTTGGTAGACATCTGAAGAGATGGAATTACCGACATGAGCCGCCAATCGATGAACTGGTCTGAAAATGCAATTTACAACAAGCAATGTTTAACGGACATAAACGACCGTGAAACTTGCGGTGCGGAGCTCAGATCGCTGTTGCTTGAAAGCCAGGCGAGAGAGGTGGCCGTTTAAGCGTCTATTAAAAGTAAGTGGAGATTGAATGCTGCGAATGTGCAGAAGATAGTGTTCCAGATGGAGGGGGTTGCCATTGAGAAAAGATGCCCGGCAGTGATGGTCCTGGTCCTTGGTATGAAGAGGAGGTTGTGAGTTGCACTCCGGCTGTTCTACCATGAGCTGTAACATCGGGTTCCAGAATGAAAAAAAATACAATGGACAACCATAAGAAGAGGCACCATGGCAAAGAAAAGTGATCTTGTAGTTGACCCTAGCAATATTTTAAAGTATTTAACTAAATTGTACACTTTTTTACTTTATTTTACCAGGTAAGGCCCACTGCGCTATATGGCTCTTTTTCAGAAGCGTCCTGGCCACAAATGAAAGCTCAACGAAGTGGCTTATCGTGTGGAAATTTCCAAATACTCTAAACGCATCTTTCTAAATGTGGAGGGAATAACCGGAGGACCTGGAAATAAAATCCACACGAGACAGAGAGAACATGTACATTTCAAATATGCCACAGGCGTAGCGGTCGGGATTGAAGCCAAGATCTCCTGTATACCAGGTGAGGTAGTTAAAAGCTTGCCATCATGGCGCCCCTTGCAGCTGTGACCATTTATAAAGGCAGTGGGGGGGGGGGGAGGTTTAAAAAATTGCACTGGGAGATCTAAACTGGTGACCTCTGGAACGCAAGTCTGGTGTATTAACCATTAGATCACAGCAGCATGTCATTCATAATACTGTAATGTGAATGAACAAGACTCATTGGAATTGACATTATGGTATTCATGTGTAGTCTGCCAGGCCCTTTCCGTTAATGCAATGCACAGCTAGCTTTGAGAGTTCCAGAATGTCTCTTATTATGAAATGTGGCTGACAGCATTGAATAGTACGGGGAAAATGGTACTGTGTAAATAGTAAAAAATAGTTAAATCAATTTTCACAAGCATTTTATCAAGATCCTTTTATAATTGAATAATAATGACGTTTTGACATTTAGGAATATGGCACTGGTGCTATCATGACCATAGTAACCACCTGCATGGGCAGTGTAATGGGGTCCTGGCCTCAGTAGATTTGCTTTGGGTGTCACTAATTTGAGTTTAGTCTGGCTACATAATTTTGTAATGCACTGCAGCATCCTTGAGGGTGACATTTGATAAAGGGGAGTAACCATGCTATAATTGTATGCCATATGAGAGTTATTGTTGCCTCTTCTTATATTGTAGTATCTCATCATCATTATCCTCAGCCATGGTCAAGCAACTGCTGAATTAAAGCCTCCCCACATATCATATAATCGAATGTTCATAGAGTATATCAAAATTTGTATTTTTGAATGTATAAACGTAGTACATTTTTTTTTATATCTGTCATAGCTCACAGTCAATGTCTACTCAGCAAGAGGCCACTCTTAATTCTCTGTTGCTCCTACTGGGGGCTTGAACTCCCTCCAGCCATCTGTTCTGTGCAAGGGCAGGCTGAAGACGTCTTCTCTGCCCATACCTGAGTGCACCTGAAGCGATTCTCCGAAAATCCTATTACAGTATCCATGTCTCGATTCTTCCTCCTGTCCGCGCTTGTCTGCCAATAAAAGAAGTAATCTGAAAGTGGTGGAACATTCATTCCATTAACCACAGATGAGTCACCTGGAAGTGGTATCCCAGAAGCTCCAATTTAATCCTATTCTCTGAGCCTTTGCGCAAACACGAGGACTGGCCCAGAAATGGTGGGAAACTCATCCCAACGTCTGCGTTCACCCGTGCATAACCACGCAGATGAAATGTGCAGAGTCATTTGTGAAACGCGACCCAACGGTAGCAGATTTGCCGGTTGTTGCAGAGGCTCACGGTTCTATTCCAGTGGCCACCCTGATTAACAATGCGGGTGTAGGAATCATACTAGTAGTGCCGGCTGGTGGAGAGCAGTGTCAACTCTGGTGGACTGACAGTACACGCACCGGTGAGGGTGAGCACGGGTGTAGGCAGAGGGAGGAACTAGGGCAAGGGTCACGGAGGACTCCGTATGGAAGCCCCTGGAACCTGCTAGCGGGTTCGAGAAGGGAGGCGCGGTCAGGCGGAGCCAGGCCGCGCTGGGAGCATAAAAGGAGCTGAGAGCGGAGGCTCGAGGTTGCCGCTAAACATCTCCGCTAGATGTTGCGCTACAAGATAGTGGTTGGCTATCTAAGTCAGCACCGTCAGTGTTAGACGGCCAGTGTTGTGTACAGGCTAGGCTGAGCTACTGTGGAGAGTGTGCTGGAAGTGACCGTGAAAGTTGTTAATAAAGAAAGTGCCTCCTAGAAACTCTGTCTCTGAATCGTTGACACTGCACTAATACTACGCGCCGTCTTAAAAATACCATGATGTCATTCAAATGTATAGGCCGATGTGCGCCAGCGTCACCGTCTAAATTTGCCAAGTGGAAAAAACAACCCCAAAATGACTCATTTGGAATTACACGTAGCAATTATTGCACCGTACAGGCAGACTAATGCCCTCGGTCACAATTTTTCAAATTAGATTGTCCTCGTTATCTTGAGTTCCCACCTGGTTAAACAAAATAACCTTGCAACCTAAACGTGAATAACACCGCATCCACATGATAGGGGCTTATAATAGATCTACTGGGACTTGTATGAATTTGAACTTCAAAACTGAAGCAGTAATTGAACCAGACAGCTAAATAGCATCTAACATACCATTCACACCATTTCATTGTAACATTTTCACTCCACTTGATTTCCGTATACTCATTCAGAGGGCATTACTAAATTGCATGTTGTCTTAAAGTGTGTAGCTTGTTACCAAACGTATCATATACTGAACAGTACTTAATGTAAATCGAGATTATCTTGATGCAATATAATATGTTTTAAACATCACACAAAATGTATGGAAAATGATCTTTTGCCTTAGTATTAAAATTATCACAGTACTGGAGCTTATCTGCTTTATTTAAAATTCTGCACGCAGTAGTCAATAGCTCCCCATTTATTTTTTTATTTATTCATGTGCTTTAAAAACATTTGCTGGGTGTCTAAAAAAATGAAATATGCGCTTATAAATATGGTAATTGTGACTCGGGGTAGCTTCTGGGACAGGATGAAAAGATTTAACTCAGGATTCAAAATGCGAGGCAGCCAAAGAAACGCTGCTGCTGTTTAACTTTGTTTTAGTTTACCCACTTCCCTTTCATTCACTATTTTACCGATTCGTTATCTATACTAAAACGGTCAAATGTCAGAATAAAAATATTGGATACGTAATTTAACGTTCCCCCTTGTTGGTATTTAACCTCGGCGCTGTGTTTTCGTTTCAGAAAGTGAAAATGTTAACTAATTATAGAAGTTAAGGGAACACGAAATTAGTGGTAAATAATACATTTGTTTTTAACGATAACTGTCCACAAGGTATTGTTCAATCATTCTGTACAATGTGCTGATATTTAATTTCTCGCATGTGCTCCGTTTTGCAGGGATCTTTGAACACATACGCCAATGTAATAGCGGGACAAAGCTATATGTGACTGTATGGAGAAAACAGGGCCATTTTTTAAATAGTAAAGTTGAAAATTACGATCTTAATATATGCAAGACAATCCGGAATATTGCATTTAACATACACTGTATACAGTACGGTAATGTAAAAGGATTGCTTTATCCCTACACTATTCAAAGATAAGGCCTAGAAAAGGTTTTTTTAACACAGTATCATCCTGGAATGTGTTTTTCCCCCCACTGGTTTTAAATGAATGCAATTTTTTCTGGACATTCAATATTGTATGAGGTAGAGACATGTTTGAAAAATGTACAAGAGCTTTGCCATTACAGTGTAAACTGTATCTGAATAGAAATGCAAGTGCAGGTTTTATACGCTAACGGGATACAATATATATGCCCAATACAGCGGTAAACTTGACAGGACTGTAAATATCATGGAATTTGAATTGTGAGGGTGTCCTTGACTTGTTGAGCAGTTCCAGACCCACTGAAAGCAACACACAATAGTCATGTAGTTTACAATGTAGTTTACAATCAGTCACTTAAGTCGTGTCGAGTCAGATCCTGCATATACAAAAAAACAACTTGGCAAGCCAGTCCATTTAGGGAGGCTTTTTTTTTTAGATTCCTAGGCCATATCCTTTGTAATAAATAGTTGTTAGTGTTCATGTTCATATATTATATCATCGTTAATGTTGCTGATGTTGATATATCAGATTATTGTTGTTGTTGCTATTGATGGAAGTATGCCAGAGAGTGTGATTGGGAGATGCATGCAAATAAATCCACATCACTTAAGTTATATCCTACGCAAATGCGTGGGCAGTGCTAGTTTCATGATATCTGAGGAACACAACTCAAAAAGATGCACCATATGCAACAATCTTGTGAGACTTTCCCGAGAATACACGTGGAATTGGCCGTACAAATGGTTTTGCAGAGTACCACACAAAAGCAGTGATGAATCACTGATCGCACGTGCTGACAAATTATATGCCTGCAAACAAATTCATACATCGCTGTCCTTTACCATCATCAGCCAATTATCTATCCACCCACAGGTGGACCCAAGCTTCACCTAGTTATCGCAGTCACTCACGCTCTCGCACCAATCTAGATTGCTCATGCACCTGAAATTATTTTACTTTCCTCAAGCGTCAATATTTGGTGTCTCTCATTCATAATTCTGTCTCTCAGTGGAATTCCAAGCGTGAAACCCTCCATGTGTCTATCCATACTTTTCAGCTTTCGTTCCATTTTCTTCGTCCGTGACCATGTGTACGATCCATATCTCAGATCCATCTATGCGGATTGAAAACACGATTCTCGATGGTACGTTGTTATCATCTCAACAGCAGTAGTGAGTGACTGACACAGTGTGGTTGAAGCCTTCATCCAGCATTGGCTTGACAGAGGACATTAACATATCATTATTAAACATTATTAATACCAAGTCACAAACGTCCAATGTTTTGACGCACACTCTGCGACGTTAACACGAGGAGGGCTTTGTAACAATAAGGTGAGTTCCGTACGATTTAAGAAATTCGACTCAAACATTTCATGGAAACATGCTGAGGCAGCAGACGAGGGAGCTGCAGGCAAACGGGGCCTGCTGATGCCCAGCAGAGGTGGGCGCTGCCTACTGTTGATCAGGTCCATAAATAATAAATACAGAAACATCTTGGCTAGTACCTTCACGAACATCGTACGTTTGGGATGATGGATACGGACCCCCCTTGGGTGGCAAGACGCCGTGCTGCATGCAGCCAGATTGTTTCCTTTATACTGTTTGCGATTAAATTATCTGCAAAGGTATGGAGAGCAGCCAAATCATTATTAATGTGTAGTGTTCCTGCATACAGTGTGGAATTTAAAATGTGTGTGCTGCTAGTGCTGGGTTTAAAAGCTACAGTGACCAGCAGCACATTATACGGCACGTTTTTCTTTTACTCTCTGACCGTCCATCGTCAGTGGGGTTCACTATACGCCTCTTAAAGATGACAGTGTAAAATGTAATTTTTGTAGACATTTCAGTTACTCATAGGGATTTACCCTATACAAAACCGGCCAAAATGATCGAAAGAGTTGCCCAAAAAACTCAGGGATAAAAAAAAATGTGCGATGAATAGCTCACCACCCTCTCCGACCAAGGCAGTGACACCACCACAGCAGGCGTGCTGCCTCTAGCTCCTCGTACCGCCATTCCATCACAGTTCGTGCGCTGGTCCGACATCACCTTATCGCGTGCGGCTTAAAGAGTAACGTCATTACAGCACTGGGTGATGGTGCACGTCCTCGGATAACACGTACCGAGAAGCGTTGCAGTATGCGTCACTTCTCTTCCTTGATTGGTTCCGTGTGGAGAGAATTGGCAGAGTGCAGGGCAGCACAACCATTGCGGTGCTATGGTGCTTCTCTTATTACATAAAAATGCTCGCTGCCTCACCAGTCCGCACTGACCAAGCGTGAAAACAGTCCAAATTACCCATATAGAATGTGGGGCGGCCCTCAGCCAGATGTTGATGGACATGTGCTTTTTTTTCTTCCAGTGTCTTAATGAAAACAAATATCCTAATGCAGGGCCATCCTGAAAGTCATAATACTCAGTGGGGCTTACCTGGATCAAAGATGAGCAACATAAATGCAATACGTATTATTTAAATCTGAGCAAATCATCAAAGAGTACTTGTTAAAACGTGCAAAAAATCTAATGTGTACGAATATCCGCTGCGTGTGTGTGTGTGGTTCTGATCGGATGATCGGACCGACCGTGCGTTCATCGAACATGACCTGATCAAAATCAGGTCAAGTCATGACCAGCAACAATGCACATATTTACTTTAGGGAGAGAGAGAGGAAGTTAGTCATAGGCATCGTAAAAAAGGAAGGTATTTTGCCTGGACTTGAAGAGGGACAGGAAGTCATCAGCACAAGATGGCAGGGGGGAAGCTAGCGAGTTTCAGACATAAAGATGGTCACTTGCATCACTCGCTTTCAGAGGGCGCTTCTGCGGCCGTCTGGAACGCTCTTCCTTTCGATATTAGGAAGCCACTGGAGCTGTGCACTTTTAAATCTAGATTGAAAACTCGTTTCTTTAGAACTGCTTTATGTGATTAGTTTGTTGTCCCTTCTCCCGCACCGCCGATTAGCACGGTTGGTTACGTACGGTGCGAAAGAAGTTCAACATACATACATGGAGGCAAGCAGAGAAAAATGAGATTATTTTTTTCTGGGTCTTCCACAAAGAGCTTTGGTTGGTTGCTGGAGCCGTATGAAAACTACAGTAGGAACAAATACGAAATGTAAATACTTGATGCATATAGCAAGAGTGTATATAAGTTTTTGGTAATAATTGTCGATTGATTAATAGATCATTGCTACCCTCATACGTACAGGACGTTAAAAATAGTTCCCGACAGAGCTGGCACGTTTCACTCATCACTGGTGATGTCATTATTCAGCCCATACAAGTTTCAGTACATTTTTTTCCAGGATTTGTGTCACAATTCTATTCACAAGACCTCATTCTGTAATCTGTGATTATCACGGTAATTATAAATTATGTTGATGGCGTCATCTGGTCGAGCACCAATTGGGTCGAGGCTCAAAAGAAAGCCGTCCCTTGGTGTGGACCAATCAGTTTCAAGGACAATGCATTATATATTATCATAGTATGTTTTGTGTTTGCATTTTGACTGCAGGTATTGTGGTTAATGCAGACATGAATCCTAGTAAAAAAAAGATTTCAGTTTTGTTGCCAGAAAAAAGGGGAAAAACCCTATTATTACATTTTGGTACTGGCAAAGGAGGTCTAATGATGTAGATGATAATTTGACACGGATAAAACATAGGTAATAAAGGGCAGAAGTTGTAATGTTCCCGAACATAATCTGACCTGAACTATTTACATATATGATGTGACCCAGGTTGCCTTTGCAAAAGAGGCAATGCTTCATGTATCTCAATGGTTTTATTTAATCTCTCGGGTTAAAGAAATAGTCCTGAACAAACGACAATGCTTTTCGAGTTTTTGTTTTTTTGCAGGGACACAGAGGTCTCTATTTCCCCTATCGCATTCGGGAGTGAAACAGCAAAATTAGGACACTACCTATACTGAACACGCAATACCCGAACACACGCATTTCGCGAGATTTCCACATTTTCCACTCGATCTCACGCTCTTCGGCAAGCTGGATCACGTTCTCCCGACAACAGCGGCGGCGGCTGCGATTCTCGGATATTTGATGAGCAACGACAGTGAGGAGAATTGACGCGTGATTCCTCCACGGCAGTCCGACACAAACCAACCAACGGGTGTCACTCCTGGCACCCCCACTCACCCACTGCCTCTTTCATCTCCTCTGCTGCCCCTACGGTGGTCCCACGCCGCCTCTGGGTCGATCTGGCGCCGCAAAAGATTGTGTGGCGATGAAGGCGAATCTGAAAGAAAGAGACAAAAAATACAAAGCCGCATGTGTTATTCTCACTTTCTCCACAATACGCCGTGGCATAAACTGCTTGCTGGAATATTTTGTTGTCGTTGCAGTATACTGTATGCGTAGAACAAAAAAAAACCCCACTTGGTTTAGTATAATGTAATATGCGTACAGTATTTCATTCATGTTACACTGTTAGAAACCATGGGATACCGATGCTCATTGTAATTTACCCGAAGGGAAATGAGAGCTGAACTTTATTAGACAGAGTGTGAGATCGCTTAAACCTGCGAGCAGTGTGGTGTAAACCTGAGCCGTAAAGGTCTTGCAATGCAGCATAAGGGACACTATCAACGGACTTGATTTTCCACTTGAATAGATTTAATTATTTCCCCTGCTATGGCTGCGCGTGATTACTGATCCATGGCAGACAGGTTGAGATGTGTGTAGCTGTGTCCAACCTTCCATGTTCCATTCATTTGCTCTCTCGCTGCCATTTGGCAAATCGGTCATCTTGTCGGACCATATTTGTACCGCAACGCCACCAGCAAATGCTGAACAATGAATAATTCTCGTATGCATTCAAGTAACCTACATCGAGTCGTTATTATCATATTCCTGTCGACTGGAGATGCATAGTGGAGAACCTGCTTGTTTTCTTGATCAAATAATAAACTGATGTACATTTGAATGAAGGTAGGCCTTATCTTGACCATCATGTACTGACCAGCGTGGTGAAGTATAGTCAAACCACCCCCAACACACATTCAACCTTAACCGCTGTTCCTAGTCCCCAGGTTCGGTCTCCAAGCTGCCGTCAGCTGGGTTGGATGTGGTAGGCAGGGTGTGCTAAGCGATGCATCGCAAGACCATGAACAACATCGATTACGTGCGAAAGCCTTAATCCAGCGGTAGAATAATTATGGCTGGTGATGATGATGGTGATTAATGATTTGCGTGTGAATGCTGTCATATGCAGTATACTCTTCTTTGCTAGGTGATACATATTTTTTTTGCGTTGGCAATTGATGCAAGTCGAACATGTTGGATTCATTGCACATTCAGCTCTATCATGTCTGCCACTGTGGAAAAATCCGATTTTCTAAGGATGCTCTCTTGATGCTGCATCAACCTCATCAATAATTCAGTGGGAAAAAAATATTTGTGCCTCGAATCTCATAGCCATGGGCTGAAAAAGATGTGGGTCAATAGTGGCAAAGCCCTACAGCAGTGGGAAATAATCACTCTACACTGACAGAAAGAAATTAACCGGTGCGGTATATCTGGGTCTGAGAGAGTATACATATACTGCAGTGTCATTTGTACTTTTATCCATTTATTGGAAATATATGCGGCACTATTTTTCGCAAGTAAAATTACAATGCTGTATAAAACTATTCCCATTTGTAAAATGTACTATTCTTACAATGTATTAACGGTGCAATTAATAAATCACCACTCTCTGTCAAGCCTCTGCTGGATAAAGGTCTCCCTATTAATTTCAATCATGGATGATGTTGGAGTATACTTCCCTATGCCGGTCACGTTGGTGAAGGGGGTGCCCAGGACACACACACATAGATATATCTATCACTTGACACAGATGTTAGCTGTGGCTGGGAATCAAACTACAGTCGGGTCACTGGGTTGATATTGCGGTGAGCCAACGCGTTGTGTGCCACCGCTCCGTCTGTACACGCTGTTATCTGAACATAGCAAACAGTACGTGCTTTAAAGTTGTTTGGAATACACAATCAACGTGACTTATTTTCAACGTATGTACAGTATTTAAATGCAATGACTTCCTATTTAGAATGACCACAAAGAAAGTGTCCATGAAAATGCATGTTCGATGATTTATGAGGGCGCTTTTTTTCCGATGGAATTATGATCACGTGCACTTCCGTGTTCAGATTGTAATCATTGGTACGATGCCAACTTTGGGATCCCGATTTTCATTTTGTGCAGGGCAGATTGCTGATAAATGCAAGTGCTGCGTGCATATCAGGGCCATAGTCTGCAGGATAAATGGTAATGCGCCTTGCCGAGTGCTGGTGGTGTTTAATGCACGTTACACTCAATTTAGCGATTCAAATGTGACAAGATCTCTCTCTAGTGGATTCATTGTCATGAATGTAAGAATTTAAATACCAGATTGGAACATGTATTTTTATATTTGGACAATAGAGCTGTTCGGCATAATCATAATAATACATTCCATTGTTTTGGCGTTTCCTTAGGTCAATTAAATGCATTCTTTTTGTTATCACTAATTGTGTTCCTAAATATTTGCTGTCTTCATGCTCGTAGAATGCTTATATTTTTGTTTTCTCCGAGTGCTCTAAATAATTCTCTTGATAGAAACAATATATACAAATTGGTGTTGTATTTTACATGGCCAGAATTTTACAAAAGACTCTGTGTTTAATTGGTGTGCTGATTTATAAATTGCAAAGGTCCATTCCAAATGCATTTGGTGTTACGTGACATAAATGAAAGGAAATTCTTCATTAAATTACGATTTACAGCCCAACATAACGAATAGCATGACTAATCCTTATCTGGCTAAATGTAAATGACCGATTATTGTTTTTAATATTTTAGAAGAAATGAACGTTATAAATACCTGCTGTAGTGTTCATTTATGTACAGTGTTGCCATAAACAATATACATCTGATAACCAACAAAAATAAGTTGTTGTGGTAATGCTGTTTGCATCACTTCGCATTTTAATTGTAATAACGTATTATAAAGTAGTGTTGGTTTTGTGACGTGACACATATCATGACAATCCAAATATTGAACTGGGGATAGCCTCACTGAACGGCAAGACTTATTTTCAGGAAGGCCTTACATTTGAAAATTTTTGGGCAATTCCTAAAATTGGGCATTTAGCTTGCAGAAGGAAACAGTGGAACCAAGAGAAAACCTCACTCATACGGGGATAAAAATCAACCCTGCCATCTCCTGGTCGCCTTGTAGCCCCATGCTTACCAAAATTTTTGTTTTGTTTTTAACTTATGCTTAACAAAAGCCACGCCACTGCAATGAGCATATATGCAGCCATCGTCATCTCTCAGTATTTATGAACCATTGCAACCACTGCGGTATGCATTAGGTGAAGTCCAAGAAAGGCCATCATCTCTTCTGCTTCCTTTGGCCGTGCATTATGCATGACGCGGGGAAGCACTACACAACGAACCACTACACAAGACTACACAGAGATTCACGAAAGCGTAGAGCCTGCAGACATCGTGACCTGCAAAATCCCTGCAGGGCATGCTTCACACAGCGCACATAGTTTTATTGTGCGTGCAGCTAGAGCAAGAAGAGCGTTGATGCTCCAAAAAAGCATGTTGTGCTCTGCTTTCTACTGACAATGGTTCCATCTGAACCCCGCTTGTTTAATACGTGTGCACATGCAATTGCTCTCACGTGTTTGGAGAGTTTGAGCACGTATGGCACTGTACTCAATGCAGCGGCTCGAGATGCAATGTTGTACTTTGTGGAAATATTTATATATATAGCACACATCATTTGTGTGTGTTACTATTAATGTGTTGACTTATTCCTAGATATCGTTTTGTTGTTCAGAACCTTCACTTCAAATGTTGGTGGAATTCCAGTCCTGTAGTTAAAGAACAACAGTATACCATCACAAAAAATTGGTAAAAGCCAAGAAAAAAGTAAGTGGTGTTTGGCCCTACTTCACGAAGCTAGTCAGTGCTTGTTGGTGAAGGAGAACCCCCATTTTACAATTAAAATATCACTCGATACCTATGTTAGCCATGAATGGGAATCTAACCAATGTAGCCGGGTTTGTAGTCTACCAGAATCATATTACTTAAATTGCTGTCCACTGTCTATGTCACATTGCCTTTAGGATATTCCCACTGTGTTTTAAAACTATTATAGTTTAGGGATGGTGAAAATATCACTCGTAAAAAAAACTGTGGCACATGAAGAGAGCTACTTGGCAGTGTGGACATAGGGCTTTAAAACACTATAAAAGTAATAGAAATATCACTCAGGCCAATACTAAAAATGTAACGATCCTTAACGTAAAAAAAAAATCTTTGATTATGAATATCATCATAAGGGAAGGTACTCCATTGAGGTTTTAGCTATGGGACAGTGGAGTCAAGTTCAAGGAAAATCCTGTGTCAATAATAAATGACCCTTGCAAAGGCTGGGTAAATTTTGATTTAAAGCTTTCGTGACTGCAGTAATTCATATTCTTAGTTGTTTCGGTAAAGTCACGTTGAAGAGAAACAACAAAATAACAAAATATATATAAAAAATTCTCACGACGTTTCGACCATAACTCAAACGGTCATCATCACCTGATGATGACCATAACTCAAACGGTCATCATCACCTGATGATGACCATTTGAGTTATGGTCGAAACGTCGTGAGAATTTTTTATTGTTTTATATATATTTTGTTATTTTGTTGTTTCTCTTCAACGTGACTTTACCGAAAAAACTAAGAATAAGGCTGGGTAAGTTGTAAGTGCGGGGTGTTTTTTTAAATAGGCCCTCGGCATCTTGCTATTGCTTATCATGGATGCAAGTATATTGTATACACTTTGAGTCTGATCTAACACACTCAAAAATGCTGTAATCTCCCCCTAATGAGACATGTTCACGCGTTGCATACTGGGAAGAGTGGCATAGCATATAGTCTAAATTTGGGTTGGCATAAGCCTTGTCATCAAAGGAGGAGCTTGGGGGCAAGTGCCCTCTTTACTTCAGCCCAGATGAATGGATTGTATGCTTCCTAGATTCATTAAAAATTCTGTTCCTCTCCCTCATGCTTTCTGACAAAGTCAACTGCTCACCCACTTGCAAAGCAGATGGTCCTGGCCTTAGCTGGCACTGATCAGAGTACTCAGCAACGTCATGGCTGGTATAATCTGCAAATATGGTAGATTCAGAGGATTACACCAACGCTGAATGAGACACAGGTCAGAGCTTTCGATGTCCATTTTAAACGCTTTATCCTTTGCATCTAAATCTGGCGCGGTAGTTCTGTGGCGGAGTGCCCAACTCACACTCTCGAGGCTACCCGTTTAAATCCTAGTTGGCATCCAATGCTGCCCATCATCCATCCAGGACGTATGCTTTGAGTACACGTTGTGAGGCATCAACAGTAGTGTCCCTCTGGATAGAATGGTCCCTGACATAGGAAGGTGCAATTACTGGTTGACAGTACATTTGTGACGAGCACTACCTAACTTTAATTTGAGTGCGGAAATAAATTGACCCACCCTTCGCGTCTACCATTATTATTATATAGCATAGTAACTAGAGGCTCACATTGTATATATTAGTGATTGCTCTCATGGCCAGATATTAGAGTGGTCGTCCTATTGAGTTACTCACCCCCACCATAGTAATGTGGAATTTCGACTGCTGGCTGAATGACTGTAAACAG